AATTTTTGTAACGAATTTTGTGTGATACTCATTTCAAAATAATGCGATGATTCCGGATTTGTTGCTAAATAAAAGTGATGCACATTGTACTGAACTATGATTCCTCAAATATCGTTTAAATAAGTGATGGTCATCACAAATACAAGCAACAAATTAAGTATTGTAGTTTTTCTGCGATGATCAACACAACATCGCGCAATATTTCTGCATCACCGAAAACGTGCTGTCAGCATCACAGTCTGATTTACAGTGCCAGTGGACAAATTTTTATTTTGTCCAACTGCAGATATAATATTATTACAAAACAAGCTTCAAAATTGCGTCTTGGAAGATGTGCTCACAGATGCATTTTGCAATGGACAAAAATTGTCCCTTGACATCTAGAGTGCAGAAGGTATATTTGCTGTCAGGGGGCCAGCAGGTGCCTGCCTGACATATTCACCAGAAATGGACATGGACAATAAACTCAGGGCTTTCTTCAGGGGTCTGTCACGGGGACGACGACCAGTATATTTTTGAGGAATCCTGGAGCGGTGTGATGCAGACAGCGACTGATCTGGATATGCGGAGGCAGCTCATTGAACTTTGGGTCTCGTTCGCCAAAAATTCGTAAGTGATCAATCTAACGTTCATAACTTTCCGTAACTGCTGTTACACAAAGCGGTAGACGTAACAAATGTTGCATCACCAAAAGTGTATGGCATTTGTGAGACTTCAAATTATGCTAATTAACAAAGCTTTATTAGAAAAGAATGAATGTATTATTTCAATGAACAGGGCCAAAAAAAGCTGTGACGCGAACACTTTGTGTGGTATGTGTTACTGGAAATAAATGGGAAATCATTATTGTCTGTCCAGAATCCCTGTTCTGAGTGGTGGTAACTGGACACCCCTGTCCAAAGTCAGGAGCGATGTTCTGCAAATCCTAGATGTTTACGGGCCAGGAAACGTAACTATGGTCCACATCAAAGACTTTGGACAGACCGCCTTTTGGAGTTCCCTTCAATGCAAGACCAACGGGTACGTGAAGCAGTGTACTTTATTAAAACTAGCTCTCATTGATTGTGTAGTTCCCGCACGTTAGTTCAATGTGTATGTGCGTACCCACCCGTATGGCCTGTTGCAGCATAATTTTGTCATATTTTTGTCATTTGTGCTATGACAAACCAAGCACCATACAAACTCAAAATAACGACGAAATAAACGACGAAATAAATCCGTGTGAGTCCCATTCGAATTTGTCGTTCTGACGAGTTTGTTTCGTCATTTATTTGTTCTGAAATCGGTCAATTTCACGACAAATTAAGGACGAATTAATCTCGAAACAATGGCAAGACTTCGAGCGGCACGCAACAACGGTTACCGCTTCTCGCCTGGGGGTGGAATCGAACCACGAACTTTACTCATCCCAGGCCGGCACTGTATCCACCAGGCCACGGAGGAGACGTGCGGGGAGAGGTCGCCAGACCAGCCGTTGTGCTAGAGGGGCGAGTGTCGGCAGCAGGACATGTGTGACAAGCGGCACCTCTCTGCTCGGAGCGACCTCACCCCGCACGTCTCCCCCGTGGCCTAGTGGATACAGTGCCGGCATTGGACGGGTAAAGTTAGTGGTTCGATTCCACCTCAAGGCGAGAAGTGGTAACCGTCATTGCTTCGAGATGAATTCGTCATTAATTTGTCGTGACATTGAACGATTTTAGCACAAATAAATGACGAAACAAACTCGTCAGGACGACAAATCCGAATCGGACTCACACGAATTTATTTCGTCGTTATTTTGAGTTTCTATGGTGATTGGTTTGTCACATCACAAACGACAAAAATATGGCAAAAGTATGCTGTAACAGGGCAGTCCCAAAATCCCATGGTGCTTTCCATGACCCATGGTTTGTCATGGAACGTCATGGAACATCAACTGTCCAAGGGAGAACTTTCCATGTATTTTTTGCTGCTTTTCCATGAGTGTTTTTGCCATGGGCATGTATTGAAACTCCATGATGTTGGTCTTCATGGAATAATACTAAGCCCATGGACAACTTTACCATGGCAAAGCAAAGAGCAGAGTCGGTTTCCTGAGTCAAAGTCAGTCTTACAGATGATTACGAAGCATGTTTTCGGGGCGTCAGATCTGAGGCGGAGCCGAATCCGCTGTCTGTTTCAACTTAGCTACTACGGCCATTTACGAGATAGCAGGAAAAAGTGCTCAAATTTGTATGAGATCAAAATGACCCTGCTAAAATTCGATCGAGGTGCTAGCCACCAAATTTTATTCCGATATTCAATTAAACACAGATTTTACAGCTTTCTTAACCTTCATAGGAATTTCTTTTTCCATAGAGTTAGGACCAACACCATGGCGAAAGACACACCATGTGAGCATATGCACTATTTCCATGATATGTCCCATGGAAAGCTAGTTCCGACCCTATGGTGACATTAATTTCCATGGAGGGCCAAGCCGCTTCCTCATGGAAAAGAGGCTCCACATAGAAAGAGATCAGCCACACACGGAAAACGGTTCTTCTGTCATGGAATAGGGTAAGGTGCCCTAATGTGGCCACTGTCCATTGATGGCAACTTTTCTCGATTTCCAGCCAATCTGGTCACTTTACAATCTTGGCCTTGAAGTTGTGTTCTAGTAAGGTCCCTACTTGGGCATAATAATCCAAACTACTTCACATCGTTGTCTACATTACAAGGAAAAGGGGTGGCCATCATTGGGCAGGCCCATTCTAAAGGTGGCCATCATAGGGCATCTTACCCTAGTGTTCATGGAATTCTATGTAGCGTAGGGGATTTAAGAACAGGGTGCACGATTAAAGTTGTCTCGAGATACGTAACACACTTATGTTACAAACTCCCTTGCGTATTAAACTTCGTTTGACACATATCGTCATCGTCGTATTTTAAATCTCACGGGTATCGTGCATTTATGTATAACCTGACTTCTCTTGATTCTAGGACGAACTCTGCACGGTCTGCAGCCTCCCTTCTACTGTTCATCGCTGGCTTTATCGTCCTGGTATTCAAGACAGGTTGAGTGGAAAGAAAGAACGCTCAATACAGAGCGAAGACCTAACCGCAATCAAACCCCCGGAAATGTTTATCCCGTTATTGTACACCCACTTTTGTAAGATTAGAATACTATTTATATACCTTTCTCAACAACCACACTTAAACGGAAATCAGCTGACTCTGACATGCTGTAACAGTTAGACTTAGGTGCCTTCCTGGCCATCATAGAGTTTAAACTTTCATTTACGTTACTTGAAGCACCAGCAGAAAATTTAGTAGCATTATTAGCTAATTTATTAAAAACATCTATTAAATCATTTTTGAGGTTTGGGTCAGTGAATCCACCTGGTATTACTGAATGGTCATAATTTTCAGGATCTTTTTTATAACCAAACCAGTTACCACAAATAGTATTAACATTAAAGGCATGTAGGGGTATAGCCCTTAATGCAACTCCCATAGCAACACTATCCCTTTCGTTCTGTGATAAAGCATAAGTGAAACACCTGTGGAGGTACCTGATAGCATCAGGAAACAATTCACTGTGAGCCTTTTGCATGCCAAATAAAGTTTTACTTACTCCCCTTGCAGTGTGGTTCTTATCACTTTGATTAACTATTGGCCTGGTCTGCTGCTGATCTGCAAGCTGGTATAGAGGAGCTATCATCATCCATTACTAAAACTCCTACTTGTAAATTTTGTCTTTTTAAAATATCACTATTTGTTACTAGTTTTTTAGCTGTGTGGGCCTCCATACCCTTAGCACTACCATAATAATTCACCCTACAATCATGCTCAGACTGAGGACTGCCCATATTACATGCCTTACATTACCTGTTGCACTGATTATAATCCAAAACTTTACCAGTAAAATAACCACACAGCCACCCATATCCATTTAAGCTATCATAATTATTTCCTGATCCCCTTTAACTCCATCCCATGTCGTACGATACCATTATTCTAACTACCAAGTCAAATGTTACTGGACAGTCCTCAGCAATTATCACTTCACGCGCAAGATTTCAGAAGCTTGGACAATGATAAAACCTTTCCGTAACTTCTAAAATATTTGAATGACATGTCATTTTAGACCAAACTAATGAAAACAGGAGAAAATTATTGGCTGAGCGATAGCAAAGCCTATTACTCCAGTGGCGATCAAAAAGTTTCGTGTCTGTCTGTGTGTGTGTGTGAGTCTGTCTGTCTGTCTGTCTGTTTGTCTGTAATCACGATACCTCGAGAACGGTTTGAGCTATGTACCTGATATTTTTAGCGTAGCTTTGTAGCATGAAAAGCAAGAACTGTATTGATTTAGAGCCCTCTAGCTGAAAAATTGATCGGTCAAAAAAATCAACAACGAAAAACCCAAAACATTACTTTTATTGGCTGAGCGATTAGCGAAGCCCATAACTCCACTGACCGGAAAAGTTTCATTCTGTTTGTTTGTTTGTTTGTTTGTTTGTCTGTCCGTCTGTACGCACGATAACTCGAGAAAGAATTGAGATAGCGACCTGGAATTTTCAGGGTCGTTTTGTATCATAAAAAGACAGATCGAGTTCGAAGATGAGCACTCTAGCTCAAAAATTGACTTTTAAAAAAATCAATAACCACATGTAACAAAATATTATTTTTTTCAAATATTTTTTTATGGTCTCTCATTGGGTTACTCGTGAAAGTAGAGTCCTTTGGACGAAAATTTCGTCCGTTTTGCTCTATATTGTACCGTTTCGACGCTATGGGGCATTTCTTGGCGAAAACAACGTGAAAAAGACAAAATGGTCCATTAAAACGTAAAAAAGGCTTCATGTCACTGAATTGTAAAGGCAGTAATACTTAGACCACACGTTTACGGGTCGAACCACACCCTCTTTTGGGCTTAAGGGTCCCTAGATTATCTACTATCACTAAAACGTGTATTTTTACATAACAATCTGACAAAAT